TATCTGCTCAGCAAACGAATGAAATAATACATTGCGGTGCTGATTCTCCCCAAACACGCAGATTAACGACATATATCGTTCGAATGCCGTCGCTGCTGCTCGTCTGTCGCCCCCGCCCCCCTCCCCTTTGCCATTTAATCACCAGTAGACCGCAGGGTGGTTGAGGCCTCCCCCCTTCCCTCCCTTCCCTCCTCGTGACCCGGTATGCGGCACGCAGCTTAAGAGCCCCCCCCTCTCCCCCCACCAAGTTGTCAGCCTAATTTCATCCTCGGCGCGAGGGCGTATGCGTGCACGACGCCTTAATTTCCGACGGAGTGTGACGTCTGCGTCGCCATTTCGCCTCTCCTTCCCTCTTTATCCCATTTACAGCTCAGCCCTGTCACCCTCTCTCCCTTCCTCGCCCCCCATTATCCCCGACCTTATCGCTGCTTCTTTCTCTCTTTTCTCCTTCTCTCTCTTTTGCTCTCACTCCCTTGTCCCACCACTTCTCTCTCTGTCCCTCTCTCCTGCCCCTCCCCCCGTCGACGTGCGCCGCGGGACGTCGAAAAGAATTTGAGGAAGAAAAGTTTTAAAGGCGATTTGTAGTTTTACGCGCGCTTTTTTGATGACGTCACGCGACATGCGCGCCGCGCGCTTCCACACGTCAGGTGGCTCGTTTAATAATGAACGTAGACAACTGCTTTTGAAGGGAGGGGGAGAGAGAGAGAGGGAGGAGGAGGGAGAGGGAGAAAGAGAGATGAGAAGATGCAGGCATATGGGCTGGGAAATCGCATTGTTTTTCGCCCATGAATAATAATTGGCAATATCGGGCCGCTCACGACGTCGTTCCCAACGAGCATATCGCGATGAAAAATGTGTCGCAGTGGTTGCGGCGCAGTCGTGTGTGTGGCCCATGCGGCGGCGGGGCAGCGGATGCAGGCGCCGCGGCGTCATCCGATCCCGCCCAATATCGCTGGCAATGACTTCGCGTGTCGGCCCGTGCCCGTTACGCCGCCTGGAAGAGAGCAACACAAAGTTGCGCCGGCCGCGCGCCCGCTCCTCTTGTTCGCCTCCCCGGCTCTTGCTGCAGCCTGCTCGCTTCTATTGGCAGAAATTATTTAGCTTATCGCCCTGGCTTCGCCCGCCCAGCGGAGAGGCGGTTGCAGCAGAGCTGCAGCCTATCTGAGATTCACCATCTCCATGTCCTATAACCCCCCTCCCCCCCCCCTCTATTCTGTCGCAGTGCTGGGGTCTTTATTAAAATGGGCTTAGTTTAGTTTCCTTTCTCGTTAGCAGTGCAGCCGTTTCAAATTAACGCGCGCCCGGCTTTTGCCGCTTCTTTTTTTGCCTCTTCTTTTTGCCTCTGATTCTTTTCCTTGTATAGTCGATGTCGTTTCCCTTGCCGTCTCTTTCCCGCGTGGGATCCTGTTTTTCTTCCGTCTCCTTTTATGCTTCGTTTTGTCTTTTGTCCCATCGCGGACTTTGTCTCTGATTTGTTTGGCACCGCCGTCCATCGAGGCGGAAGTAAGGCACGAGTAGCCGATGCCAAGTGCCAAGTAGTCGTCCGTCCGCTGGCTGCTGGAGACTGTGCGCTCAAGCTTCTTTATAAGACCCGCGATTGCCGTAGGGTCGGTGCTCGTGTGATGTCGGGTGGTGCGTCGGTGACATGGTGGAAATCATGGAAAGGTCCGCCGATACTTCCCCATGCTCGTCGCATCCACGTGGAATCTGTGGTCAATTTCTATCAACCTACGTGATTACGTGGTTCCTACGTCGAGTCGACGTGAATTACATAGATTCACGAGTATTCAGCGTCGCATTTATGTGGATAGGGTTACGAGGAAGTCATTTCCCATGGGGTTGTCGAAGCGACCTGCACGCCATCTATGGCGACCGGACATGCAGCGTGCAGACTGCACTGCTGTGGGGCAGCGGACCCGCGCCAATGCTGAACCATGCAACGATCTCTCTCCGTCGCTCTCTTTCCTTTTCAACGCTCTTTTCCCTTCCTCAGTTTCACCCTCCACCCACCCCACCCTCCACCTCTCCCCTTCAACACACCTTCTTTTCACCTTCTTTGACGTAGCGAAAAAAAAGTCAGTCGTCAGTCCTTCGTCGAAGATGGAAGGCAATCCGACCTTGCTCGAAGGAGGGGTAGGAGAGAAGGGGATTGCTGATTTAATATTTTTCTTCTGATTCTCGATTGGTTCGCTGTCGTGTTTACAGAAGTTCGTAGAGCATTGCATGTTTCTCATCTCCCCGCCCCCTGTCCCTCTTTCCCCCTCTCGCTCTCCCTTCTTTCACTTTTCCTTGTACCTCTCGATCCATTTCCATAACACACTTACTCAGCGACCTTACCATCTCCCATCCCCCCGTCCTCGATTCGCCACTGCTGGTATTTCCTTAGCTTCCGCAGATTCCGTTTCGGTTTTGCCGGTTTCTTTTCTATTGGTTTCCCCTTGTTCATTTTGCAGTGTAACACGCCCCGACTGACAGTAGTCGAATTGGTC